ACAATAAATTGGCAGAAAACCAACAGCACATCAGGGATTGGGGCATTTGGGTTAAAAAATTCTAAATGACATTTAAATTTAAAACTAATTTAAAATGAATTGGCAGAAAACCAACAAATCAGGGATTGGGGGATTTGGGTTAAAAAATTCTAAATGACATTTAAATTTAAATTTAATTTACAATAAATTGGCAGAAAACCAACAGCACATCAGGGATTGGGGCATTTGGGTTAAAAAATTCTAAATGACATTTAAATTTAAAATTAATTTAAAATGAATTGGCAGAAAACCAACAAATCAGGGATTGGGGGATTTGGGTTAAAAAATTCTAAATGACATTTAAATTTAAAACTAATTTAAAATGAATTGGCAGAAAACCAACAAATCAGGGATTGGGGGATTTGGGTTAAAAAATTCTAAATGACATTTAAATTTAAATTTAATTTACGATAAATTGGCAGAAAACCAACAGCACAACAGGGACTGGGGGGGGATCTGGTGTTTAAAAAATTCCAGTTTTACTACAAATAGGCAAAAAAACCCCAGAGGAGGAAGCCACTCTTAGTCTGCACCTGGAGAGATACCACAGTTGGGATTAGGCAGGAGGCTTAAACCCCACGCTGGGCTTAGAGCAGGCTGGGCCAGGCTGAGGTAAAGAGCCCATAAATGGGTTTAGGAGTTCAAACATCCCGAAGTGGAGCTGGAGAGGATTCCTGGGAGCGGGAGGATCCCATCCCATCCCATCCCATCCCACCCCGTACCTTGGGCAGGCTGTAGACGTGGCACTCGTAGATGAGCTCGTAGTGGGGCGGGTTGATGCTGCTCTGGTAGATGCAGAACAGGTTCTCGTTGGAAGTGTCTGGGAATGACAGCGGGAATGTCAAAGAGGTTCTGGTGTGATCCCAGAGGGATAAGAGAGAGGCTTTCCCCCCTCTTCCCGACGGGAGGCAGGTACCTGGTTTATCGGGGCTCTGGATGAAGTGCTGGGAAGTGAAGGTTTTGCCGTCGGGGTACTTGGGGTGAGGAGGGAGCCTGGAGTCCAGGTAGGTGCAGAACACGTGCATGAGGATCTGGGGAAAGGAGCCAAAGCTCGCGGGGACGGCCCCAGAAAGGGAGGGAAGCCGCCCTGCCACCACCCCAGGAGCCGAGCACAGGGGGGACAGGCCGGGCTTGCAACCCTGGCCCAACCCCGGGCCTTGGGAGCAGCCTCGGGCCTAAAGGGCCGAGTTCTGAGGGCCAGGGTTTGGCTGAGCAGGGGAGGAACCCAAAACCCAGCTCTGCCCACACCAAACTCTGGCCCCATTCCCAGGGGGAATTCCCTGTGTTTTTTCCCACTTTTTTTCCCCATCTTCCCTGTTTTTTTCCCCCATTTTTCCATGTTTTTCCCTCAGAAGCAGGACTGGATCAAGACCCTGACTGGGCAGGTGGAGCAAATCCCCCATGCTGAGGGGTCCCGTGGATCCCTGATCCCATTCCCAGGGAGCCCCTTTTCCCATTTTCCCTGTTTTTTCGCCCCACAATCAGGTCAGGATTGAGGCCCTGAAGCGGCACCATTTTTCCCCCATTTTTCCATGTTTTTCCCTCAGAAGCAGGACTGGAGCAAAGCCCTGAACTGCCAGGTGGAGCAGATCCCCCGTGCTGAGGGGGTCCCATGGATCCCTGACCCCATTCCCAGGGATTCCCCTGCATTCCCAGGGAGCCCCTTTTCCCATTTTCCCTGTTTTTTCCCCCCACAATCAGGTTGGCATCAAGGCCCTGAATTGGCACCGTTTTTTCCCTGTTTTTCCATGTTTTTCCCTCAGAAGCAGGATTGGATCAAGGCCCTGAATTGCCAGGTGGAGCAGATCCCCCGTGCTGAGGGGTCCCATGGATCCCTGACCCCATTCACAGGGATTCCCTCGTGTTCCCAGGGAGCTCCTTTTCCCATTTTCCCTGTTTTTTCCCCCCACAATCAGGTCAGGATTGAGGCCCTGAAGCTGCACCAGTTCCATGTCTGGGGATGAATCCTGGAGGAGGATCCCAGTTTCCCCTGCTTCCCGCTGCCACATTCCCAGGGCTCCCTGACACTATTTTTTCCATGTTTTTCCCTCAGAAGCAGGACTGGATCAAGGCCTTGATTGGGCAGGTGGAGCGGCACCACTTCCACATCCCAGTGCTGAGGGGTCCCATGGATCCCTGACCCCATTCCCAGGGATCCCCCTGCATTCCCAGGGAGCCCCTTTTCCCATTTTCCCTGTTTTTTCCCCCCACAATCAGGTCAGGATTGAGGCCCTGAAGCTGCACCAGTTCCATGTCTGGGGATGAATCCTGGAGGAGGATCCCAGTTTCCCCTGCTTCCCGCTGCCACATTCCCAGGGCTCCCTGACACTATTTTTTCCATGTTTTTCCCTCAGAAGCAGGACTGGATCAAGGCCCTGATTGGGCAGGTGGAGCAGATCCTCTGTGCTGAGGGGTCCCGTGGATCCCTGACCCCATTCCCAGGGATTCCCTTGTGTTCCCAGGGAGCTCCTTTTCCCATTTTCCCTGTTTTTTCGCCCCACAATCAGGTCAGGATTGAGGCCCTGAAGCTGCACCAGTTCCATGTCTGGGGATGAATCCTGGAGGAGGATCCCAGTTTCCCCTGCTTCCCGCTGCCACATTCCCAGGGCTCCCTGACACTATTTTTTCCATGTTTTTCCTTCAGAAGCAGGACTGGATCAAGGCCTTGATTGGGCAGGTGGAGCGGCACCACTTCCACATCCCAGTGCTGAGGGGTCCCATGGATCCCTGACCCCATTCCCAGGGATCCCCCTGTGTTCCCAGGGAGCCCCTTTTCCCATTTTCCCTGTTTTTTCCCCCATTTTTCCATGTTTTTCCCTCAGAAGCAGGACTGGATCAAGGCCCTGATTGGGCAGGTGGAGCAGATCCTCTGTGCTGAGGGGTCCCGTGGATCCCTGACCCCATTCCCAGGGATTCCCTTGTGTTCCCAGGGAGCTCCTTTTCCCATTTTCCCTGTTTTTTCGCCCCACAATCAGGTCAGGATTGAGGCCCTGAAGCTGCACCAGTTCCATGTCTGGGGATGAATCCTGGAGGAGGATCCCAGTTTCCCCTGCTTCCCGCTGCCACATTCCCAGGGCTCCCTGACACTATTTTTTCCATGTTTTTCCTTCAGAAGCAGGACTGGATCAAGGCCTTGATTGGGCAGGTGGAGCGGCACCACTTCCACATCCCAGTGCTGAGGGGTCCCATGGATCCCTGACCCCATTCCCAGGGATCCCCCTCCATTCCCAGGGAGCCCCTTTTCCCATTTTCCCTGTTTTTTCCCCCCCACAATCAGGTTGGGATCAAGGCCCTGAAGCTGCACCGGTGTCACATCCATGTGCTGGGGATGAATCCTGGAGGAGGATCCCAGTTCCCTGGGCTTCCTGCTGCCACATTCCCAGGGCTCCCTGACACTATTTTTTCCCTGTTTTTCCCTCAGAAGCAGGACTGGATTAAGGCCTTGATTGGGCAGGCACCACTTCCCCACCCCAGTGCTTAGGTGTCCCATGGATCCCTGACCCCATTCCCAGGGATCCCCCTGTGTTCCCAGAGAGCCCCTTTTCCCATTTTCCCATTCCTCCCCCCCAGTCAGGTTGGGATCGAGGCCCTGAAGCAGCACTGGTTCCATGTCTGGAAGCTGAGGATGAATCCTCGAGGATCCCAGGGCAGGGTCCCAGTTCCCCTGACATTCCCAGGGCTCCCTGACCCCGTTTTTCCCCACTTTCCCTCCTTCAGAGCTCATCCCATCAGTTCCTCTGCTGTTCCCACTTCACCACGTTCCCCAAAGCCTCCCTGGCTGCCCCCTCCAAAGCCTATCCCAAAACCCAAGCAGCTCCAATCCCCCCCTATCCCGGTGTGTGTGGGATCTCACCGAGGAGTCCGTGGGCAGGTCCGTGTCCCACTTGCGTCCCTTGAAGTCTCCTCCTCCGTTCCATCGGAAGGAGCTCATGCAGCCGCCCTGGGAAAGCTCTGGAAGCAACATTGGGGCGGTTTTTTTGGGATTCAAGGCGGATAAAAGCAGGTCTCGGGCCGGTTTGAAAGGTTTAAGGCACGTTTCTGGTGCATAAATAGGGATAGTTCAACCCATGGAATGGCTGGGAGGGAATTGGGGCAGGAGGGGAAACTACAGGGTGAGTTTTGGCCATGAGGGTGTTTTTTTAATCCTGTATGTTTTAATCCAGCACTTTTTAATCCAGCATTTTTAGTCCAGTACTTTTTAGTCCAACACTTTTTAGTCCAGGATTTTTTAGTCCAGTACTTTTTAATCCAGCACTTTTTAATCCAGGATTTTTTACTCCAGCACTTTTTAGTCCAGCACTTTTTAATCCAGGATTTTTTAGTCCAGAACTTGACATTCTCAGCATGGAGGAAATTGTGGAATCAAGGAATGGTTCTAGTAGGAAGGGGCCTTAAAGATCACCCAGTTCCAACCCACTGCCATGGGCACTTCCACTGAGTGGGACATTTCCAAGAGCTGGGTGTGGAAGTGTTTGGGATGAGGACAGCACGTCCCTCTGAGCCTTTCCACCAGGGATTCCTGGTGTGGGATGAGGACACCACATCCCTCTGAGCCTTTAAAGCCACCAGGGATTCCTGGTCTGGGAGAAGATCCAGGCTGGAAGTGCTTGGGATGAGGACAGCACATCCCTCTGAGCCTTTAAAGGCACCAGGGATTCCTGGTTTGGGGGGAGATCCAGGCTGGAAGGGTTTGGAATGAGGACACCATGTCCCTCTGAGCCTTTCCACCAGATATTCCTGATCTGGGGGAAGATCCAGGCTGGAAGTGGATCCACTTCCAAGAACAGGAAGTGCTTGGGATGAGGACAGCACGTCCCTCTGAGCCTTTAAATCCACCAGGGATTCCTGGTTTGGGATGAGGCCACCACATCCCTCTGAGCCTTTAAAGCCACCAGGGATTCCTGGTCTGGGGGGAGATCCAGGCTGGAATTTTTTGGGATGAGGATAGCATGTCCCTCTGATCCTCTCCACCAGGGATTCCTGGTCTGGGGGGAGATCCAGGCTGGAATTTTTTGGGATGAGGATAGCACATCCCTCTGAGCCTTTCCACCAGGTATTCCTGGTTTGGAGGGGGATCCAGGCTGGAATTTTTTGGGATGAGGACAGCACATCCCTCTGAGCCTTTAAAGCCACCAGGGATTCCTGGTTTGGGGGGAGATCCAGGCTGGAAGTGTTTGGGATGAGGCCAGCACATCCCTCTGATCCTCTCCACCAGGTATTCCTGGTTTGGGATGAGGACACCACATCCCTCTGAGCCTTTAAAGCCACCAGGGATTCCTGGCCTGGGGGAAGATCCAGGTTGGAAGGGTTTGGGATGAGGCCACCACATCCCACTGAGCCTTTAAAGCCACCGGGAATTCCTGATCTGGGGGAAGATCCAGGCTGGAAGGGTTTGGGATGAGGCCAGCACGTACCTCTGATCCTCTCCACAAGCTATTCCTGGTCTGGGGGGAGATCCAGGCTGGAAGGGTTTGGGATGAGGACACCATGTCCCTCTGAGCCTTTCCACCAGGGATTCCTGGTTTGGGATGAGGCCGCCACATCCCTCTGAGCCTAAGCCACCAGGGATTCCTGGTTTGGGGGGAGATCCAGGCTGGAAGTGCTTGGGATGAGGACAGCACATCCCTCTGATCCTCTCCACAAGCTATTCCTGGTCTGGGGTGAGATCCAGGCTGGAAGTGTTTGGGATGAGGACACCATGTCCCTCTGATCCTCTCCACCAGGTATTCCTGGTTTGGAGGGGGATCCAGACTGGAATTTTTTGGGATGAGGCCAGCACATACCTCTGATCCTCTCCACCAGGTATTCCTGGTTGGGGGTGAGATCCAGGTACTGCACCAGGGCGTTCAGGGTGGGGATGAGAGGAGCTTTCACCAGGGCTGCCTGCTTCAGGCTGCTGATGCTGGCCTCTGGAATACAGGGACACCGGGATCACCAGGGAGCTCCTGGAATGCCCTGGGATCATCTGGAACCAGACACCACCCTCCCCACACCCATTTAGTCACAACCCAGTCTCCTCTCCGTCAGAATTTCAAAGCTGCAAGGAAGCAACAGGAATTACGAGCAGAAAAGAGGGAATGAGAGCGGCGTCCTGGTTTTCCAGAGATGAAGCTCCGTAAGGAACACCCCAAAAAATTGGGAATTTCAGTGGAATTGCACCACATCAAATGCAGCTCTTGGCTAAGGAGGTGCAAATTTGAAGGAACAGAAGCAGCTCCTTCAAGCTGTGGCTTCAAAACCAAAACTCCATCGGGATTTAAAAATAGAGATTTTTGGGAAAGCAGCGGATTGGGAGGAATAATTTGGAAAAGGACACAGGAGTGGAGACAGGGAGACTTCAAAGGGACACACTGAGGGTCTGGAGCACATTTCCCTTTGAAATGCCTTCTGACATTAACAGGCAGTCACTGATGATCACTGGAGTAAATTTATAACATTATATTTATAATTATGTTCTAGTTTCTGTATTTCATATACTTAGATTTGAAATATATTTCTATATTTCATACACTTAGATATGAAATGCATTTCTATATTTACTACATTTAAATATGAAATGCTTTTAGATATTTCATATATTTAGATATGAAATACATTTCTATATTTTATATATTTAGATATGAAATGCATTTTGATATTTCATATATTTCTATATTTCATGCATTTCTGTATTTCATATATTTAGATATGAAATGCATTTCTGTATTTCATACATTTGTATATGAAATACATTTCTATATTTTATATATTTAGATATGAAATGCATTTCTATATTTCATATATTTAGATATCAAATGCATTTCTATATTTCATATATTTGTATATTAAATACATTTCTATATTTTATATATTTGTATATTAAATACATTTCTATATTTTATATATTTAGATATGAAATGCATTTAGATATTTCATATAATTACACATGAGATGCATCTATATATTTCATGTAATTACATATGAAATACACCTATTTCAAGTATTTATATGTTCATATCTTTATATATGAAATACATTTATATATGAAATACATTTATATATTAAATACATGTATATATTTCATGCATTTATATATTTCATACATGTATATATTTAATACATTTATATATTTCATACATATATGTATTAAATACATGTATATATTTCATGCATTTATGTATTTCATACATGTATATATTTAATACATTTATATATTTCATACATATATGTATTAAATACATGTATATATTTCATGCATTTATGTATTTCATACATGTATATATTTAATACATTTATATATTTCATACATATATGTATTAAATACATGTATATATTT